CCTTCGGCAGGACTACCAGTCCTGAGGAACGTCGTGAGATTTGTGTAACGGGCAGCATGAGAAGCCCAGTCCCAGCTGAGGTCGAGGCAGTGGCGTAGGCTGCAGGCAGCGCGGCCACATTGCTGCTTGGGCAGGGACAGTCTGTGTGGACGAGATCCCGTTTCCCCTGTGCTGTTGCTTTCTTGGCTGGCTAAAGCCTGCCTTCCTTTCTGTAGCCGTTTCCCTAGGAGAGCATATCAAACCTGTTCTTAATAATCTTTATATTACAATTTGAAAAGTACCATTTGTAATATAATTTTTCTAGGAGGAGTTGTGTGGGTACCAGAGGAGAGCGGGGTGGGGGCATGGTTCATGAGCCAAAAGGCTAGCTGAGAGCTGTTAGCAACTGAAAGCAACTCCCAGCAACCCCGAGGATGATTTTAATTACACGACAGCATCCCCCAGAGCCAGGACTTCAGTTCTCCCCGATTTTTCCGTAGTAGATCAGGCTGGTAGAGGACCGCTACATGAGGGCTGGGGAAATTTGCCCCCTTGTATCCAGTAGGCAGCACGGTAACATCCACACAGCCTTTTCCCCACCCTGAGTTGATCATACGTACCCTGCACATGCAAAGCACTTGCAAATTACCTCTTGTGAAAAATTTCAACGAAAGGAAGCGACGGAGAGAGGCTGTGAAAAGCGTTGAGGCAGGGAGGCTGCCACAGCCACCAGACATACGGGCATCCCCCTGGCTCCCCACTACCCTGCCTGAAGGGCTAGCGATCTCCTACCCCTGCACCCCAGCCCCAAATGTACATAAATGGGGATGGGATTTGCAGGGGGGTTGTTGACAGGACATGTTGTGGGTATGGCCACACACTTCCCTTGGGCTCCTGCTTTTGCCCAGGCAGCAGCACTTCAATGGGATGAGGCCGGAGAGACTGGAGGTTGAAAGTAGAAAGCGGTGGCTGTTAAGATTTGCTCCTGTTGCCCCAGACATCACCTAGGGACATGACTGCCAGCTTACGAAGGAAGTGAGACCATTGCTGGTGGGCCTAAATCCCGTGGGAGAAGCTAAGCACTCATCCAGGCCATTCAGTCACAAGTTGCTGGGAGTTAAGGGATGTCAGCATTTTAGACCAAGGCAGCCTGTAACAATCTGATCACATGCTGAAGCAAAGATATTCTCCTGGACTTCTGGTTTCATTGATTTTTTTTTCATTTGAGTTGACCCGTCGATAGCCCGAAGGTTTGTGTTTGTTCTTAGAACAGGCAATGCCTTTGCACAAGGAGAATAAATTTCTCCAGGCCATGTCAGGAGAGAAAAAACCCTCAGATGGATGAATCCAGGCTCTGTAATCTCCGACCACTTTAACAAGATCAGCGTCAATTCCTGCCAGCGGCGCTGGTGACGTTGCCGAAACACAGGCACCTGCTGGAAGAGCGAACCTGGCTCATTCCCCACGCGTTACACAGCCGGCATGGCAACTTGTTTTTGTTTTGCTCTGTTTTCACTTCTCCAGCCCTTGTTCTGTGAGGAGGGGAAAAATGCCAAATTGACATTAGGCAGAGAAATCCAATGACGTTTTAGAAACTGTTGTCTGAAATTCACAGCAATGTTGTTGCTAAATGAAACAGAGAAAATTAATTCCTCTACTGGTACAAAAGCAATTTATTATGACTTTTGTGGGAGGCTGCCAAAAGAGTTCCTGGTTATGTAGAAATCTAATGGAAATGAAACTCAGCAGAATTCACGTCAGTAATATTCACTTTTTGCCCTACCTTTCTTTATCTCTTTTAAAGTAAAATAAAGAGGGCAGGGCAGAAGAAGAGAAGGGCGGCAATTACTCTTGGAAATGTCTTTGAAACTATCTGTTTCATGAAGGGGAATCTTAGATGATGCCAATTTTGAGACAAATTAGCAAGAACCTTAAATGTTGATTTTATGTTCTAGCTGAAGTTTAAACATTTAAAATATATGATTAATGAATTGCTGTGGGTGCAAAGTTGATTTCAAACTTCCCAAAATGTAGAAGTGTTTGGATCAGAGATGCTTCGTTGTCCCATTGTAAAGGGGCTATTTGCCAAATTCACATCTGGATCTAGGATTTAGGCCTATTTCTGTTTTCCTAAGCGGTATAAGTACTGGGTGTCCTGTGTTACTAATATGGAAAATGTCCAGCTGCATGATATATGAAGTTGCCTTACATCCCCATAAAAAGAAGATTTGAAGGTTTCAGACAGCCTGCATCTGCATCTATACCTGGTCTCCCTTTGATGCAGCTGAAACTGTACAGAGAAAAGCTGCACAGAATAATTTACTAAACGAAGGGTCTGTAGCACACACCCATCCATTTCCACGCAGGGGCTCCAACTGGTGTGATTACCAGAAGGCCTTTATTCCCTTATTAGGATAAAAGGCAATATGAAAACTGCTGTAAAATCTGCTTTTTATGGCAGGACATGGAGGCTCCATGAGCCAGAGCTGATGTCAGTAAAGGCTCAGCAGCACCAGGGGAGCTCTTCTTCTAGAAGATTCTGCTGCGCCGTTTGCCTCCAGTTTAGAGCTTTCTCAGAAGGACAGTAATCACACCCCATTGAATAATTTAGGACAGTTGTTGTGCAGGTAAAACTAGCGCTTACTTTCCTTGGAGGTTTACCTTGAGAAGTGGTTCAGGACTGGCTCTTCAGTGTTGTGGGCTGGAAACTGTGAGAGCTGACTGAAATGGCCTTGGCAGGTGGTAAGCTAGCAGGAAAATACAGTTCTAACTGTCGCCAAAATGCCTGACAACCTGGGCTGAATTCACTGAATAGCTTCTCCTGGATTTGCTTTCTTTTGTTTTCAGCAGAGGGTTTGTGAGGTGCTTAGAGGTGTTGTTCTTCGTTCCTTTTTAGGCAGCATATTGGTAGGACATTCATGAGGCAACAGGGAATCAGCCTCTGTACAGTATCTCCCAGAGTCTGGACAAACCCAGATACTCGACCTCTCTAAAAAAATCTCTTAACCACCTGGATATTGGAAAGTTGAATGGCCGAGGGTCCTTCAGACTATCTGATGATAAGATTTCTGTTGGTATAGAATGATTTCTTAGCCATTGGGACAGAGTTTCCGTGAGAAAGACTCACCAGCATGGTGGTTAGGACTTTCACCTGGAAAATGGGAACACAGTGCCTCAGTCCTGGTATGAGTAAATATTTATCTAAACCAGGTGGAATAAGATCAACAGGAAGCATGAGGAACATGGCAACCTAAAATACCAGATAGTCTGGTAGGCAGGGCATTACGCTGGGAGATCTGATACTCCAGTTTAAATCTTCTCTTCATCTCCTACTTCTTCTGCATTATTCCTCACTCCTGGACAAAATAGGATGCTGCTTTCTTCTCCACACTCCGTTTCATAAAATCAGTCATTCATTTTCTTTGTTCTGTGTATATGTATCCAAATGAAAGCATTTCATTTTTTATCAAGCTGAATGAGGCAATCCATTTTTTTGCTTCAGCAGGGAAAACCAAGGAAAAAACATATTTTTGGTTCTACCCAAAATGTCTACATGCATACGGACACATACATTTTGCTTGGTTCTGTCTTATTGCCAAAACAATAAAGCCAATTAGCCGTACAACCCTCGACAGCAGAGGGGTCATCATCTTTCTCAAGCCATGCTGGAAGTTGCCTCCCTTAGGAAATTAATGAATTATTAACCTCAGATTTATGTTGTTATAATACAAAGGAGAGATTAGAAGATATGTAAACTTACACATCTGCAATATAAAAAAAAGGATCAACTGGACTAGCAAGAAATGACAACTTTGCGTAGTAAGAAGGCCACTAAATCAGAAAAAAAAAGCTGTGGTTTTGCAGTGCCAAGACTTGCTCTTCAGAAACCAAGGAGTGACAGTATTGGGACCTCGTGGGGATGGCAGTTATTGCAGGGAGGGTGAGGCTGGAAAATTAAAGACTTAATTTGCCACAAAGCTTTATACGCGAAAGAAGTTTTTGCGAGAGTATTTCAGCTGACTACTTTTAGCATTTAAACGCAGCAAAACTGAACTATGCTAACCAAAGAGGAAGAGAGTATCAGCTGAGACTCAGCCTACTACAGACCTAGCGTAACGTCCAAAATTCACAGAGCATATTGAACCTGTGAGGTGGATGGAGCAAAGGTCTATCTGACGGAGCAAAGGTCTAGATCAAGGCCGCTCGCCACCCCCTCCAGCTATTAGCACAACTCCTTGCCCAGAGCTTTTGCCTCTTGGCTACGGAGGTGTGGGGGGAGACTGGGGAGGGGGGTGTGTCCCTTCCCTCTCCTGGCTCCCCACGGTGGGCAGACGGTGCAGGAAGGAGTGGGTGGAAGAAAGCAGGAGTCCTTCAGGCAGAGATGCCGGTGCTGTTCCCCAAGTGCTGGCCACACAGGCTGAGCAGCCTGGTTTTGATCTGGGACAGGTTTAGTGGGAGTGAATTTAGCTCTGGGGTGCTGCTGGCAGGTTTGGGTAGGATGTAGGTGTCTAAACCTCTCTGTGGCTCTGGCTGAGATCTCTCTCTGAGCATCGTGGGCAGGACTTCTTCAGAAAGGCCACCTCTGATCCTCCCTGCCTGGGGGCTGCCCCATGACCAGCTCCTGCTGGTTTGGGTAAAAAGCAAGGATCCTTAAACCACCTTTACAGATACAAATGCAAACTTCCTCTGTTTGTTTGGGAGGCAAGCTCTTCCCAAAAATCTTTTTTTTCCTCAGGAAGCTGAGCTTCAGTTGATTATCTCTCCTATTATCACATTTCAGCAATAAAATTATATCCATTACCTTTTCATTGATAGAGCCAGCTGTTGTGAATTTGAAGAGCTGGTTGACTTCGGCAGCATTGTTCAGCTCATTTATTCCAGCTGACAAATGTCCTCTAATAACTAACTGTAGCCTCTATAATCTTTCATCTCTTAGAGTTGGAGAAGTAAGAGCAGCGGTAGGCAAGCTCAGGAGCAGAGCTGTGATTCAGCCACATCCTTTTCATGAGCTAAAGTTTGTTTTCCATGTTTCACTTTGGGAGCTGCCCGAGCTGCCTGGATTTGTCATGACATTACCAGGGTGGGGTTTCCAGGCCCAGCGGTCCTGCCCAGGTCCGGCCCACCCCAGCTCAATGGAGCCAGGATCCAGCCTTGGTCAGGCAGGGATGGGCAGTCTTCAAACAGGACGTGGCTCCACGTCCTCCCTTCTGGGGTGCCCAAGGGAGGGGTAGCTGATAACCCCACATGGGAACTGCAGGTCCCTGCGCCCCACCTTTGTAGGGCTGAATCAGGAAAAGGGTGAATTACACTTTCCAAGCCCGGAAGAAACAGGCAATGATAAGATATTTGCCTGCCGGAACAACAGTGGCAAATATGGTCAAACAGGAACTTTTCAGAACAGCACTCTGTGTTTTTAGCTCAGGTTGAGCAAACACTGCTAAACTCTAAACACTTCTTCCACTGCAGGGAGACTCAAGCTGTTAAAAATGACGTCTTTTGTGGTAATGGGAGTCTATTTGATGTCTTAGAAATAAAAGAAGCCTTTTTGAATAACTAGGCTGATGCAAGACCAAAAACGGACCCAAAGGTTAGCATGAAATCTGCCTCGTTGAATTCTCTGAGCGTAGTCATAAGGAAAGAGGATACGGAAATTCATTGCCACTGATTGGCAATGGTCTATTTGAGAGAGCGATAAAACAGATTTCTTAGGATTAGAGCTATTTTGGCTGGTTTGGGGGGACAAGCAGTTGTCCCTTCCATCTCTGCATTTCTGGGTAGCGACTGACAGAGCAGCATGGTGATTGATGACTGGATGGAAGAATAGCAGCTATCAACCATTTTAATAAAAGCTAAAGAAAATATTGGAGCCCAGGTTATTTCAGACAAAAGTGATCGCTGGCAATGAGTACCTCTTTCAGAAGGTGAGGTGGCTTGAGCACAGCAACAAGAACCCTGCACAGCACTGTTTGGAAATTGCCTTTGGATAAATGAAGCCTTGCTTTTCCTGTGTCAGGACTGCTAGCTTGGCATGGCTCCAGGAAAGCCAAGAGCTCTACTCTTGTAAAATGATTAAATATGTATACTTTTCACTTAAACAGCAGGCAGGAAGCTTCTGCAGTCACAGTTTAGCATAGTTTTTTTTTTTTCTTCTTCTTTTTAAGGAATCTCGTCCGAAGACTATCCATTAACAAGTAAATTAAGGTTTTAAAACTGACATATCCGAGAGTTAATTTTGTATGAAGTCAGCTCTTAAACATTTCCTTTATCAGGTGAAATTGTTGCCCCTTCTCTGTCTGGCACTGTGAATTTTTCCTCTGTAGCGGATCTGCTCAGCCTCATGGAAAAAATGATTGTTTCTTTGTCTTTGTAACTCTCCATTTCTCTGTTAAAATAAATGGGCGGGTTTCAGTGCAGTTCAAGGGTTCATCTTCGTGCCTACCAGGGCTCCTCTGCACGTTGTCTTGTGAGTGTAGGTGGCGGAAAAAAAAGGCTCGTGGTTCAAAGGCATAGTGTTTCTCCACTTGAGATGAAAGGAGCATCTCCTTTAGCGGCCAGTCTTAGAGGGATGAAGTGGTTGTGGCTAGCGTTTTGAAGGGTGAGGAATGATTTTAGGCATGTCAAGGTCTAAGGGAGCCAAAGAAGGCTGATTTCCAGGAGGTGCTCTGCCCCCGCTGCTGGACAATTGGAATGTATTGGGCTTCTCCCACTGTGGAAGCAAAACTATAGGTGCCATCACTCCCAGGTCACATTGTTGCTGTTGGCCATCTGTGTCCCTTCAGTAGGGGGCAGCGGGACACATGCACGTTACCTTCTTCATCAAGGTTCTGTACGTCATGCTCTTTCTTTCCCACCTTGCTGTGAAGATAACCATGTGCTGTTCTCCAAGGAGGGCTGTCACCATGTCAGACCTTGCCAGTGTAGCAAAGTCAATGTTTAACAAAGGGGAGAAGAAGCGGTCTGACCCTGAGAGGTGTTTTTCAGTTTCAGGATTCTGAGGCAGAGGGGTGAGCAGAGGGCAAACACCGAGCCCGCTGTGATCCAGCCTGCCCCTTGATGTATGCAAAGCTCACCCGCTCAACAAAATCTCTCTTTGCTCTTCCCCCCACTCCAGGCGAGCTCATCGGTGATGTCAGGCCCAGGAGATAGCACCAGTCCCGAAAGCAGCAACCTTAAGTATTCGGGTCAAGATGCGCTGTACACAGGAGTCAGCCTGACCTCCACGGCCGAAGTGACGGCGTCTGTGAGACAGGATCCCTGGTGTGCCCTGGCTCTGGCGTGACTCGGCATGAGGGAAGCTGGATCCTGGCGCTGCGCGGCAGCCCCCAGACGTCCGCGCACGGTTTCTTCTGCAGAGCAGTTGCAGTGGCAGAGAGAGTGCTGGCAAAGACCATTCCTCCGAAATTGTTTTCGTGCCTTGGTGGCAGAGGTGTTTTTCAGCCTTTGAGAGAGGCTCTGCCGAAGCATCCAGTTCCTCATATATGCAAGAAAAACACAGAGAAAGCAAATGCCCACCGGGGATAGCTAATGCAGCCTTACAATCTTCAAAAAAAAA